TCAAGTGCTAACTTTACTCTCAATGTATTTTGTATGTACCTGTTAAGATTATTAGTTAAGGCCAGGTACTACAGGCAAAATAACTATTTTTGTTCAGTTAGTCAATTTTGATATCTGTTGATATTTTGCTTCTATTAATTGTCAACTTTCATAACATGCACACAATTAATACCAATAACTTTGTTATTGGTAAAAATTGACGATTAAAATCATAAAAACTAACTATTTATATTTTATAAATAGTTCGTTTTTACGATTTTATACAAACTTCGCCAAGTAAACAAAGCCTTAAATTAGCGTTTTTTAGCATCTTTCATCGCAATTTGTCTCCACATTTTAAGAAATAACCTAGTTGTATTGCATATCACTGAAAAGCTTATTCTATGGAATAGATGTCTAGCCTAGTCATATATGGCTATTTACTTTGCTCTTATGGCAATAAGAGGGGGAACGCAAGTATAACGCTCAAATCTCATTGCTACTTGCAGCACAATGCCAGAACATGAATTGCGATTTTATCAAAATGACATTTTTCATGCCGAGTTTGACAACTCATGTTTCATACTAGGTAAAGCCACATAATTATACATACTGCTTCCTACTTGGAATAGCTAGAAATGTTCGGAGGGATTTTTGATATCTTTTGTCATTTACATTTTACGTGGTATTATATCTAAAAAAATAGGCGAAAATCTTGTTTTTTAACATGTGTCAAGTGTATTTTAACATAATTAACTGAAAAAACAATATTTTGACAAAAGCCTCTGTAGATTACCAACCAATTAGTTATTGATCATATTAAAACAAACCAAAAAGTTCTGACTTCATCTACTAAGTCAATATTGTGTTTTACATAACATGCAAATGTGTGCATATTTAATGAGATAACACGTAATATGCATAAATGAATGGGGGGAAAGTCACAAAAAAAACGTATATTTTTGTGTCTATTCATCTGATAATTTTTCATTCTGATAAAAGGACAGGAATTTGTTTTGCCTATTCACCTGTAGTAACTCTCCTTAATTTAGTTAAGATTAGTTAAGATTAATTTAACCCTTTAGCAATGTTAGTTTTGCTTTTGGGTTGTAACTCTCTGCTGCCGTCAATGTGTAACCAAAGTACTGAGAGATTAATTCAGGTTTTGCATCAAAGTAATGATGATTTCTGATTGTACTGTATGGTGCAGGTGAAAACCGACTGAATATGGCCACCGGTGAACAAGCAAGCAACAACCCACTACCAAAGCGACCATGGTTGGAGTGCATCAGCCACTGTTTTGATGCGACAGATAAGCTGGTGTCACCACAAAGTGGTTACTCCTGGAGAACTGCTCAGGGCAGCTCAGATACAAAATCATGCACCAGTTTTGGAAATGGCAAAAGACATTCCTGAGGGACAGATTCCAGAAATCTACTACCACAGAAAGTATCGCAGTATCTTCACTATGGAGAAAGTTCTTGATGGCATCCTTGCAAAAGAAAAGAAACGTGCCAGTGGCTCTGCTGAAGAGAAATAATCTAACAGCTCGACATGCCCCAAGTACGTCTAGGACTTATGACGCAGAGTGCATATTTTTGTCAGAAAACCAACAAATATGCCAAGGAAAAGAATACGAGAGAAGTACTGGTATAGTGTCAAGAACTGCGAGCTGATGTAAAGATCAGGAGTGCAGCCACAAGTAAGACGGACAGCAGAATCCTTGCCATTGTGAGTCGAGACCTTATAGCAGCTGAAGGGCACTACCACAGGTCATGCTGTAGACTGTACACCGAAGAGGTTTCCAAAGAAGAGGTTGCCAGCAATGAGGATAATGATGCTGCAGCCCAGTACGAAGCTGCTGTGAATCAGTCATAAAATGACCTGTTCCTCTTCATCAGTGTAGTGTGGTAAAACACGCGGTGCACACTGTTGGCTGAGGGCAACCGAGGGCAAGCAGGTGCGTGTGTGCAACTTGAGGTTGCACGAGCAAACCTCCCCCTCATTAAGGGGAGAAACGGCTGCAGACGGGGTCGGCCCGGGGTTGCACGCTGACACCGGAGGTGTTGCCAGGGAGACGTGCAATGAGGGGTGATTGATAGGCTGACAGGCGCCAACCTGTCTGGCCCTAAAGAGACACAAGGGAGGAGCTTGATAATTGGGAGGAGGATATAAGGAGGCGTGTGAGAGCGGAGCGAGAATTCGGGTTGCTGGGACCAAGGTGACGACATCTCGCCGCTGTCGCTCAAGCCAGGGACGGACCTCAACCCTCACGAGTCACCGGGCGGGTGATGGTTGATCCCCCCGCCCGGATCGGACGAGTGAGTGGGTCTGAGGGAACATAGGCGAGGGCAGCAGCGCAGAGTGAGCGAAGCTATGTGCGAGCTCTGTGTGAGCACTGCTGATTGTGGAGCCTCGAGTGCAGAGCTACCGAGAGCGGGAGCTGCCATGTGCGGAACCTCGAGTGCGGAGCTGCTGTCTGTGTGCGGAGCTTTGAGTGCGGAACTGCTGAGATGAAGAGCTGCCGTATGCAGGTTAGCGAGGTGTAAAATAGATAGGGGAAGTTAGTTAACAAAAGTGACCGTTTTAGACAGAGACAGGAGTGCCTACAACTGGTGCAAGAATAGAGTAACAAAGTATAAGCAGGTGACCTGTAACAACGTGTCCGACTGAGTGATTTTACAAGACATGACATCAGGATGGAGCTTTTTGGCAATCCTAAAGTGATGACAATGACTGATCTCATGTCTCGACTGGTCCCTTCAATGAACTCCCTAGGCATTGTCCAAGTCAAAGAATCAACCAAGAAGCACATAAGGCAAAAGCTGGAGTGCCGTTGCTGGAGCCTTGCACATCTTCCCTGATGGGAAAGGAAAACTCCTTCTCTATCCAGATAACCTGTCCATGAGGGAACTTGCCAAAGAAAATCAGTCCCTCAAAGTGGAGCTGCAGACCCTGACAAGTGTCGGTGCTCAAGATGTTATAGCCAAAGCAGCCATCAAATTGAGAGAGGACATCAAGAGTCAAGTTTCTGGTGGAAGAGTGAAAACTCCCACGATACAGAGAGATGCTGCATGGCAAGGTTATGTACATGACCTGTGAGGAAACCTGCTACAAGTTGACAGAAGATGTGTGAGGAAGTAGCAGAGCTGCACTCCACGCATGAAGAAGCTGACACCCGTCTGCTTCTGCATGCATTGCATGCAGCAAATGTGGGCTCAAAGGCAGTTATTATTACAGCTGAGGACACTGATTTCATGGTGCTTTGTCTTGGCTTCCAGAAGGACATCACCTGTCCCATCTACCAGAAGTGTGGGATACAGAACCGCACACGGTTTGTCAATATCAGCAAACTGGTAAGGTCATTTGGAGACAGCATCTGTGACAGCCTAATTGGCTTACACGCCTTCACAGGCTGCGACACTGGCAGTGCATTCGCCGGTCGAGGGAAGCTGAATGCCCTGAAGATGGTGAGAAAGGACACTTCCTGCCAAGATACTTTTAGTCGACTGGGACCGTCATGGAATGTGAGTGATGAGCTGTTCTAGAAAATTGAGCAGTTCACCTGTCGCATGTATGTTGTTAATAGCAGCACTGGTGAGGTGAACAAACTGCGCTACCAGTTCTTCTGCACCAAAAGGGGAGAAGTCGAGTCCAGCCAGCTGCCACCATGTAGAGACTGTCTCTTCATGCATGTTCAACGAGCCAACTATCAGGCAGCAATCTGGAAGTGCTGTCTGCAGGCGAACCGTGTGGTGCCAAGCCCTACTGAGTATGGATGGACAGGCAATGATGGCAAGCTAGTTATTTACTGGATGTGCTCCCCACCCACACCAGATGTGGTCTTGGAACTGCTAGCATGCAAGTGTGTGCGTTCATGTAAAATGCCAAGCTGCACGTGCCTGCCAAATGGACTGACATGCACAGACATGTGCAGGTTACAGACCTGCAGTAACCAAAAACTGCAGGATGATCCAGAACCTGACTTTGAACTCGGGAAGTCAGATGACGAGATAGACGAGCAGTTTGATGAGTGACACAGGGTGGTGATTCTGATGGTATTACTGTGGTAGTCGCAGTATATACATCGATGCACAGTGTGGTGAATCCGGACTTGGTTACCATTGTTAACACCATCCAAGTACACACAGAGCTTGATAACAATAATGTAACCTTCTTCACATATACCCATCACTAACGATATATATGGGATTACACATATATCATTGACTAAGTATGTGCGAATGTCAATGTTTATAATATTCAAGTAGTTATAAAGTTCACTAAGCTATTCCTTATTATCGTGTGTTTTCATTGTGCATTTAAACCAATAAAGACCAGTTTGTGACTTAACTGGCTTTGGTCTAGGTAGTTTTTCAGTAATGCTCATTTTATCATTCCGGACACCTGTCAAAGGTTATGGGTATAAAAGTCATGGCAACTACAACTAAGCTGCCACTCCGCAAAAGTTATCATATCAGAATATGTCCCACACACATGGATGATTACACAAATCATGACTAGACTTTGCCACCTCAGATGGTACCAATAAGTGTTTTTTTTTTGGTTTGGGCCCATGGACTATACCTCTCCCCTCTCACCTCCACGCACTCTCCTACCTCTCCCCTCTCACCTCCTCCACACACTCTCCTAACTCTCTTAAAACTAAAGTCAGGGCGAATTCCTGCTGCTCAAATGAGCCAACGTGGCATCGACGCTCATCCGCTTACAGCCATCCTGAGCTGGTGGTGGAAATTCCACATTCCTATAGGCGGGAGCAGATCTCTCCGTAGGGTAACCACTGTTAACTTCCCTACGAAAGGGTACTCATTGTTTCCACCCAAGAGGGAGGGATGATTTGCCGAGTCAACAACGGCCAGGATTTGAACTGACAACCTCGCAAGTGCGAGCTGTCCGGCCCATCACAGCAAAGAGCTCCGAATGAACGTCCCTACGAGCAGCCAGTGCAGCAGCATACGGTCGTGGTGATGCATGGGGCGGTGGGGTGGTGGAGGGCTCACCATGCAGGCTCGTCACCTCCGTGTCGCGTTCCCTCTCCGCTTCCTCCAGCTGCTGCCGCAGCAAACGCAACTCGCGCGATCTCTCTGCTCCATCGCGCTCCCAGCGGCCGCTCCGCTCTGCCATCTCCCGCTCCATCTCCCCACCCTGCGACTGCACCTCACGGGCACACCACCGCCGTTGCACTCTCCCGGGGACGCCACCACGACCACCGCACTCCAAACACACCGTCACCACTGCAACCCCCATTCATCCCACTACACATGGCCCAGAAGCATCAACGCGTCTGCCGGTTGTTGCAGGGGTTCGCGGTTCTAATTCCGGCAGACCACCCTGGTCAATACCGCGGGTATGTTAACCATAACATACTACACACACCATCTGCTTTTACAATAGCCGCTAATGATCCCCTGGTGTCATTCGGGTCCAAATTTGCCAAATTCGGAAAAAAATACCATCAAATTACTCAATAGGGATTAAGCACAACAACAGTGGCAATCATCACCCCCTGATGGCAGACCGATGGCCGCTTAAAGGCTGAGTGCCGAGTCACCGCGTGCCACACAGGGACAGCTGCCACCTGGGGGTGCCGTTCGAATGTTTGAGATGGTGAGGCTTTTTGAGTTGCTCAGGCACTTGGGCTCCACATAAATGATTAGATGAGAGATTATAGCAACTTGAGAATTGTTCCGTTTTCCTTTAACCCCTTTCGGGAGAGAGAGATTCAGAGCAGAACGGCCACCACAGAACCAGAACTAACAACATTTGCTCGAGCTATGTGGTCCAATATCGGGATATTTGGTCAACGTGAAAATCCATTGCTGGACAAAGGCTTTCCCCATGCCGTGTGAGGCCATGGGAGTTAATTCACCAAAATGTCCTCACCATCACGCTCGCACGTTGTTGGTGATGACGGGGAGCATAGACAGTGGACCATAGTACAGCAGAGCAGGGCCCTATTATCCAATAGGCCACAGTAGGCACTGTGCCTAGTGCCTACGAAAGCTTAACGGCCTACGGAAATAAATGTTGACCATGTTATTTTACATGGATGATAAAAACATGTTTACAAAGATATATTCTTGAATAAATATATTCAAATAGCAAAGATAAGCACAGTGTAGATACAAAGAGTCGTGTCAGTCGGATTTTTTCTCATGAGGTAGAAGAGATTAACACCGGAGATTAATTCTAGATTTGAAGTTTTCATGACTGCAAGGATCCATGCTCTTGGTTCTTTCGGTAAAGTCACATAGGTAAAGAAAAGAATAAATAAAAATAAAATAAAAGATAAAAATAAATTAAATTAAATCACGACGTTTCGATTGCAACACAAGCAATCGTCATCAGGTGTAAACACCACAGCAAGAAATTTTATACTAAAGTGGGAGAGATGCCAGGAGTCTATATAAGTCAAAGAGGGGGGGAAACGGAGGGGGGATAGGGAGCGAGGGAAGGCGCCTCGTGGACGCCAGGGACTGGGGTAGTAGTAACACGGGCAGCAGCAGTACCATATGGAGTTATCACTGAAGGCCTACAAAACGGAAGTGCCTAGGGCCGACAAGAACCTTCATCCGGCCCTGCAACTGTGCCCGCTCTCCTGTCACCCGATTCACTTTTACTGAAATAGCTGCAGATGATTTTAACACCGTATACAATATGTAGGCTATAATTATGCTGTAAAGGAATACAGTCTCATGGTGATAGTGATTTAATAATATAAAGATCTAAAGGTACAACACTCACAATTGAGTAATCGTGCATCATACTTTCATGCCGGCCCCATTGCTTTAGGATTCCCACAAAGGGGGGTGATCACTGATCGCGCAACTTTATTGATAGTCGGGGCTTAGTCCATGGTAGACCCCAGCTAATTTTTAATTAACAAAAAAATAAAACCAACTGTTAACATGTTACTTGTGTTTATGTTGATTCGGGGCCCCCTTGTGGCCGACTGGGACCCTATGCGTCGCGTAACGCTGCCAATTACAAGAACCCCCACCTCATGGTTGCACCTCTGTAATGCAGAACGCAGCGCAGTGAAACGTATTAAGCTGCACTGCCCCCTGGTGCCCACCACGAAGCTTCGCAAGCAGCCGCGGCCTCTCGCAGCGGTTTTTATGATGTGTGGTGGTCGCTCATCCAAGCAGCGATCCAGGGCTCAGTTCTGATTTGCTTCCCAAGATGAGACGCGTAAGCGCAGATGGGCGACTAGGAGATGTTAACTCCCTCGCCTGGTATGCAGGAGGTCGTGGGTTCGATCCCGACCCTGATGCCGCCTGCATATTTGGAATTTGCATCTCTCCGTCTCCTCGTGGTCCCGTGGATTTTTCTCCGGGTTTTCCGGGTTTTCCCTCCACATTTAGAATCTACATCACGCGTTTAGAATATTTGCCAGCTATACATTTCCACGTAATAGGCCACTTTGTTATGCTATCATTTGTGGTCAGGTCGCTTCTTTAAAAAGAGCTGTATAGTTCAGTGGGCCTTATCTGGTAAAATAAAATAAAAAATAGTTAAGGAATCAGGGATGGTTAATCTCGTATCAATGTTAATAATGATAAACATGTAAATTCATTCCATCGTGGATTGAATGGTCATGCCAGAGGAATCTGCAATCTCCATGACTTCACGCGAACTTTGGGTCATTCTCACAGCGGCCTTCGGATAGTTGTCGAACAAAGACGGTCATTACAGTATATTTTGGCTGCGATACATCTCCACACGGCGATGATGAGCCACTTCGTTGACCTATGATTTGTGGCCAGGTCGCTTCGAAGGAAAAAAGTGGGCCTCACCTGGCAAAGAAAAAAATTGTTTAGTTTAGATTAGTGGTTCTTAACCTTTACTGTAGCCTTGCACCCCTTTGGTTCTCATTCGTAAACACATTTTTGCAATGTTAATAAATACATAAGTTTGATGAAACAAAGTAGTTATACTTACGTACCCGTGCTTAATTTGTATTTTCAATTATTTACTTTCTAAAACATTTGGTCATGTCTCTTACTCCCAGAAAGGGCATCTCGCACCATCAGGTTAAGAGCCACTGGTTTAGATGGATCACTGCAGATCCCGCGAAATTATCCTTTGTGAGTCGCGTGAATTGTATTCGTAGATCCAGGCTTACTCACCTGGAGCAAGGAGACATCAACGCGAGTCATGAAGCGTCATGCAGACTACGATGCGGTCTCTTCAAATTCCGAAATACCGAAGGGGCGGGGGGGGGGGGATACTGGACTCGACGCACGCTTGGCACCCAACGACGCACCTTCAAAAACTCAACTTCAGTTTTCACCACTTGGAATAACGCCGACGCCTGTTTCTGTAAGCACGACATAGAAGCGTTACGTACATGTTGTGCTGTGAAAAATATACATAGAAGAGTAAATAGCAGTAGCGTAAGTGCACGTGGCTGGCGTTGTGAGCATTAACAGCATGCATGGGTAACGCAATAGCTGCTTCGGCCCGTGACCCACCGCTTAGCACAACCTGCAGTTCTGGAGCCGGAATACGGCTCTCCGACTGTCCATTGCGACTCTTTGGCTGCCCCCTTCCAGGTTAGTTAATGTCAGGGAATGGGGTCACTAGGGAATGTCTTGGTGGCAACAATATGTACAACAGTCAAACTATATTGTTAAGGAATAACTAAGGGGGAAAAGTGAAACTTTAAATAGACGCAGTTTATTCCATCATCTATTTTGTTGATTAAGTCAGAATGTGTGTTGTTGTCATCTGTTATATCCCCGCTGCCAAGGCCGTAATTATAATATATTGCTATAAAAAATAGTATTGCTATGCTATGTAAATAAAAACAACAATTTTCTAAACCTTGGCCACAATATCTGGACTTGTCTTCTCTGCCATTACATACAATGAAACAAGAAATGGTAAAAAAAAGTACTTGAAAAACAAAGCAATGTAATACAATACACTATTAGACATTATTGTAAAAAAAAAGTCCAACCCATGTGTTAGTGAATTTTTTAAATATTTTAGGTAGGACATTAGTTTTCAAATGTAGATCCTTTTCTGGGTTGGGACCCCCAGACACCCTGGAAGATTTGGTCCCCCCCAATGTTGACTCCATGGCTACGGCCTTGCCCGATGCTGTGTCCGTGTTTGTGTACAAGTGGCTCTGCGCGTGATGCGGCTCTCCAACTATTTTGGTAAAAGACAAAAAAAATGCCTCTCATTCTTCTTTTCAAGGTCGCCAGCCCCTGTCCGAGCAACATCAGCATCCTGAATAGCTGAGCAACGCCTAAAAGCCGCTTGCTGCTGTCACAGACTCGGCTCTGGGACAATCCCGCCTGCGGCATCCACTGTACCAATTTGTATTGGAATGCAGCTTGTTGACTGGAGCTCACAAACACCCCGCTTAGCCCTCACAAGCCGCCACGGTGTGCCCGTGCCTCCAGTGTGCCCGTGCCCTCCCCAGTGAGCCCGTGCCCTCCCCAGTGAGCCCGTGCCCTCCCCAGTGAGCCCGTGCCCTCCAGTGTGCCCGTGCCTCCAGTGTGCCCGTGCCCTCCCCAGTGAGCCCGTGCCCTCCAGTGTGCCCGTGCCCGTGACCTCCAGTGTGCTCGTGCCCTCCAGTGTGCCCGTGCCCTCCCCAGTGTGCCCGTACCCTCCAGTGTGCCCGTGCCTCCAGTGAGCCCGTGCCTCCAGTGAGCCCGTGCCTCCAGTGAGCCCGTGCCCTCCAGTGTGCCCGTGCCCTCCAGTGTGCCCGTGCCCGTGCCCTCCAGTGTGCCCGTGCCCTCCAGTGAGCCCGTGCCCTCCAGTGTGCCCGTGCCTCCAGTGTGCCCGTGCCTCCAGTGAGCCCGTGCCCTCCAGTGTGCCCGTGCCTCCAGTGTGCCCGTGCCCTCCAGTGTGCCCGTGCCCTCCAGTGTGCCCCTGCCTCCAGTGTGCCCGTGCCCTCCCCAGTGAGCCCGTGCCCTCCCCAGTGTGCCCGTGCCCTCCAGTGTGCCCGTGCCCTCCAGTGTGCCCGTGCCCTCCAGTGTGCCCGTGCCTCCAGTGTGCCCGTGCACTCCAGTGAGCCCATGCAGTTTCAGCCAACCTTCCGCATGCCTACGGTGGTGGAGCAGCAGTCTCTCGAGTGAACAATCACAGGCGAGTTCGCAGAAGCAGGAGAGAGGGAAAAAACAGCCAGACCCCGATTGTGAAGTTTGACAAACGGGGAACCCGCGCCGCCAGTGGCCACTCTCGACGCGGCTCGGTACCTTCTGAGCCTCCATCTGCTCTCGGGAAGCCACCTTGAAGGCGCTGTAGTCTGTCGGCACACGAACGGACAGCGCACACCTTGAGCACCGAATTCCGCACAGCCCACGCCGCGTTCAGGGGTCACGCCGAAACCAGCGTAAGAAACAAACTTGCCCAAATGCACGGCTCGTTATTCAGAAGTGGATATAAAGATGCCGACGTTAATAATGGGTAAGAAGTTCATTAGAGTCGCGATCACGCTCTCAAGTGTGTTTGTTGTTGCTGTGTGTGTTGTTGTTGTTATTGCTTTGTGCGTGGTTGTTGCTTTGTGTGTTGTTGTTATTGTTGTGTGCATGGTTGTTGATTTGTGTATTGTTGTTGTTATTGCTGTGTGCGTTGTTGTTGCTATAACCATCGCAAAAAGGTAGTGTGCAGGACAATTGCCTTCTCCCAGAGTTATTTTAAATCCCAACGGGAATCAACCACAATGGGAATCGGCCCCAATGAGAATCGTAGAAGTTGGTCAAAGAGAGAGAGAAAGACTGCAAAGTTGCTCAAGATAAATATGTTAGCAGTACAAAGGTCACCGTGCAGCAAGTTGGCCGGACGAGTTGAAACCGCCCGTCAGAGAGGGGACACGACGATGGTGGGACACGCTGCGGAGTGCCGCGTGCCTAGCACAACTCCTGGTGTTGGGAGTGATGAGCTCAAGGTGTGGATGGGAACCGGTCGGGGTGCGATAATTGTTTTTTACCCTTTCATCTGGCAACAAAACTGACACCTTTTTTTTACAAGGAGTCATGTTTGCATTGACCACAATACCTGCGGTCGGAATGCCAACAAAAAACACAACTCTGATAAAGTATGCACTGTCCTTGAAATTGATTGGTCCACACCCGAGACAGCTTTTATTCGAGCCTAGTCTCACATGGTGTTGGACCAGATGACGCCAATTTCAAGGACAGTGCATACTTTATCAAAGTTGTGTTTTTTGTTTGCATTCCAACCGCAGGTATTGTGGTCAATGCAAACATGACTCCTTGTAAAAAAAAGGTGTCAGTTTTGTTGCCAGATAAAAGGGTAAAAAAACAATTATCATATTTTGCTACTGGCAAAGAAGGTTCCAATGGGGTCAGGGTGCTTTGGAAAGTCACCCCCAGGCCAAGCCCAGGCCAAGCCCAGGCCACCTGGCTAGTGAAGGGCGCTTACTCGGCCGTGCAAGAAGCCCTTTATGCTGATACCCGGCAAGATCATGAGAGGTAGCCCCAAGTTCGTGAACATAATCTTATCTTGACCACGGCGTTTTACAAGGAATTAACAACGGTGCAACAACAACAACGACGCGTGTGAATGTAATGGTGGATATGAGGTGAATGAAATAGACGAGAGGAAGCAATGGGGGCGAATCTGTGATGCGTGAATTCGGTGAAAGCGAAATTGTTGATAGTGAATGATGAGGAATGGATTAAATGAACGGGGTGAATGAGTGGCAGCCGTGTAATGAGAATATGAAGAGGGAACAGTCACGGTGGCGGTGATTATGAGGGAGAGATTAAGGGGGGTCGTGGGGTGAGCTAGGGGTAACAATAAGTGAGCTTTGAGTAAGGAGTGGGAACTTAGCAAAGGTGACCGCTTAATGTGGAGGGGGAAAGTTTGTTCCAGTGAAGGTGGTGGGCAAGAAGAGGGAGAGCGATAGCGTAGATTGAGTACAAGGACGAAGAGGAACAGAGAGAGAGCAAAGATTGAGAAGGGCGAGAAGGTGGCATAGAAAGATACAGAATAGCGAGATATGGTGGGGCAAGACCATGAAGGTCAACATTTCATTAACACGTTCGTCAACAACATGTGCTATGAATTAGGGCCATTGCCCGAAACGTCACCGGTTATATAAATTAATATATTTTGATCTGTTTAAGGCCACACTGTTGATGCTGTTGTCCGTGCACCGCTGCCAGCGCAACCGCAACTGCATTAGCACCAGATCGTTTGCTCAATATTCTAATTGGTTGTAAATATCGAAAAATGTTTGCCGCAATACAAAAACTCGTTTTAACGCGCAACACTAATAACAATGCAAAACAAAAATTATCTTTCCGCTTGAAATTCCGCACCGCAGGAGAAGATAAAAACTTTGAATAATTCCATGTATAGAGCAATTTTCATTAAGGATCTCAAAGCGCTCTACAGGACACAACAGCAGCAGACACTCGGCATATAATTAACTATATAATTAAAATGTTTCTCTTTTTTTAATTAACTAAACGTTTAATGAGTGGAAGCGTATATAACCAGGTTTTAAGACGCATTTAAAAAAAATGTCCTCAGACTCTGAAAGATCCTGATATCGCGTGGAAGAGCATTGCATAGCCCGGGGGGGGGGGGGCTACACAGGAATGATGGTCATGTTGACGTGAGAGACATCATCGCGAGCTGCCTCACAGAGAACATCCACTCTTCACGTTGGACCGCGAACACACCTCGCTCCCACTGTTCCAGTGGCAAATATCCCTCGAGTGTAAGAAGCGCGATTAGCGCGAACAGAAACTGAGGCGCACGCTCTGCTGCCATGCGCGCCACGCGTGTCTGGTGTGGTAAGAGGTGGTGGTGGTGGATGTCTGGTGTGGTGAGAGGTGGTGGTGGTGGGTGTCTGGTGTGGTGAGAGGTGGTGGTGGTGGGTGTGTCTGGTGTGGTGAGAGTTGGTGGTGGTGCGTGTGTCTGGTGTGGCGAGACGTGGCGGTGGGGCGCGTGTCTCTCCATATCATTCCCGTCCTAGCGTTATAACAACAAAGGTCACCAATTAAAAGAACTATCTAATTGGCAGTAGAGCAACCATAGCGCATAGCAGTGGGCGGCGGGGGATGGGGTGCAGAAGACTCGCGGGGGGCACGCCAGAGGCCTACAGAAACATCTGTGAAAAATAGCTTCATTGCTCATCGGATTCCTCCTGCACAATAAAATAAATATTCAGAGGAACCCACGCAGGAGGAGTCGAATAGATGCGGGGCGCCATTGCCAGACGAGGCCAAATGACCACGGCACCATCCAGTGCCGTGGAGGAAATCAACATTGTGGAGAGGACTTAAGTTTCAATGTTAACCGTGTCCCTTGGTTACTGCGAATCGCGAAATTACATAACCTAAAAAGCCACGCAAAAAAAACCACACACGGACATCTGACACGCGTGCAGACGTAACTTGTAAATGCAGGAAAGAGTTGCGTAATAATCCATGACCATCTTAAAATATATATATTACAACTCAACGCCTACTGCAGCTGAATGTTCCAGCCGAAGCTGTGACGGTTCCACTCACAACATTCGCTCTGCCTTCGTGTAACAGAGGCCCACGACAGTCTCACGGAAGGCGCAGACAGGCCACAGGGCAAACTCCCTGGTGGGCTGCCGCCCTGTGGGGAAATTGCTAAATGTGATCAGTGTAAAAAAAATGCAATATTTTATTACCTCTAGTGTACCAATTCTCTCTTTCATTCCGGCCTACACAGCCTTAGAGGATAACCACACAACGGTTCGGGACAGCCAACATGCTGCCAGATCCACAGCTTGAAGGGGGCTAATATCACCACGACGACGGCACGACGAGTTCCACTCCAGATCGCAGCCGCCCCGATTGTGAGTCGGAGCTCGCCTTATATCCTGAACAGCGTGGCCAGGCTCCGCCCTCGGCCACGCCCCCCTCTGGATCCCCCAGGTGGCTCCGTGCCTTGCCCACAGGTGCAGCTGGTAGAACGGGCTATTACCCCTAATTCTATTGGCTATCAATCTCCCAGCGGCACGCGCTGCAGTGACTCATCAATGTCACTCCACCTCTCACGTGTATGCTTCATTGCTGATTTTCGCTATCCGTTCGCATTAAGAGATTCGTCAAACCCAAAGATTATTCTTCCTCGTCGCCCCCCCCCCCCCCCCCATTTTTTTTGGACTAGCCCCAAACGGGACAATGAAGATCGCATGGCAAAATGATGTACAACACAATTTTTTAAAATGTAATTAAAACATTTGACCATAAAACCCAGTTTAAATAAATCATTAATTGACCATAGTCCGAATTTTGGCCCCCAGTTCTGTTTACAAATGCCTGGGTGCGATCTCTTGTCCCAGTTCATCGCTGTTCACGGATACGATCAAATGCACCAGAGCTAGTAATATAAATTAAAAGGTGACTTCCACGAATGTCTCAAGGCGCCTTGTAAGAAGGCCATGAGAGACAGAGAAGCTACATAGAATGAACGGACTTACGAGGATGTGGTTTCAAGACGAGACTTAAAGTATCCGCACTATGAGATAAACGAATCCCCAATGGTCGGGAATTCCACAACCAAGGAGCGGACCCAGCAAGTCGCCCGCTCACCCCAGGAACACACAGAACCCATGGTGTGACGTCACACACCATGCGTACATATCGTCGCCTCCCCCCCGTGACGTCGTCGCGTGTTACGGCCATTTGGTCGTCACGCGACTTGACGCACAACCTTCCCGTCGCTCGTTCACGACTTGTGAGCGCAGCTGCGTGCTGGGCACCGCGACCACACAACTTAATGGCAGCTTCCACGTCGCGGAGTGGCTTCCCGGCGGGCGGCCTGCCCTGGGAGAGGCCGCACATCGCCTCCCTCTGTCACGGGGCAATGCCAGCCACCACGTGGCACCCTCAGCGGTCGGGATGGGGCCCGCCCACCGACTTTTTCCACTGGATGTGTCTTCGGTTTGATATTGAGTTATGTTTGTGCCATATTATTTATTTATTTATTCTGTAATGCAGTTTGCCTTAGCTCCAATTTCTAATCGCCTTTATTTTGTTCGGACTTCTCGTTGGTTGTATGGTTTTATTCCTGAATTCCATTTGCTTGAACGCTGTATTTAGCAAGCTGCAGCGTGTACAACATTCTGTGGCACCTGTTCTGACGGGTACTGCAAGATGCGGCCATGTCTGACACACTATGCGTAACAAATCAAAGCAGAGTTAATACATTCCAAAACTTGTTAAGAGTCACTATTCCAGATCGAGTTATTGTCCTTATTGCTCGTCGTCGTTAAAGCAACGTTTAAAAACAATGCGCATTGGTGTCCGATAATAAGTATTGAGGGAATTGCATGGGAGAGAAAATGGATCCCAACTTTACAGATTAAAAAATTAACCGGTAAAAACAAAGTTTTTCACTATAAATCCTTTATATGCGTGGCGGCTAGAGTCCTCTCGTTCTCTGGCTTGAGATGGCTGCCACCTATGGGTCAGATGATTCCCTGGCACCATTAAGCAATTGGTAATTAAATATAAAAAAAAATCCTAAAAAATGTAAAATTTTGGAAAAAAAATTTCACGAAAATTAATTGTCACGCACAACGAGTCTGTGTGGAAAATGTCAGCTTGATTGGATCACGGGAAGTGGGTTAAAAAACGACCGAAAGATTTGCACGGTTGTAAGCGTGCAAGCGAACTTAATATAAAGGATTTAAAAATGAGCAAACCTCACAATGTCCGTCCAGTGCTCGCCGAGCTGCATTGGCTTCGGGTTGCCGAACAAACACATTGTGAGGTCGCACTCATTACACACACACAGAGTGCTTGCCACAGATGAACCACCACTAACACCTCGCTGATCTCGTCAAGCAGCATGAACCATCACGCGAACTCCGGACATCCTCGCAGCAGTGGCGTTTGGCGAACAATCAAACAAAGACGGCGGTCACCGCATCGCGCGGTACTTTTGGATGCGCTTCTGCGGCCGTCTGGAACGCTCCGCCTTCCAATATTAGGAAACCACTGGAGCCTTGCGCTTTTAAATGATCTATATTAAAAACTAATTTTCTTAGAATTAATTATTGTGTTTAGTTTTCTGTCGTTCCCCCGCACCTCCGATGACCACGGCTGGCTACGTATACGGTGCAAGAGAAGTTCAACAGACGTGTCACCCAGGTCACTCGTGCAAATGAAACCCTTCCATCCCGGGGGCTCTCGAGTTCTCGCCGCCGGGTTAAACAAAACAGAACTTGACACTTGAACCGACACTTCTCAGAACGCTTTCCCATTCCTACACAGCACGATGTCTCCCGCAGAGGGGACGCGCCAGAGACTGTGGGGCTACAGCAGGACGAAGAGCTGCTTCCCAGCTGACATTCCACATTCACATTTACACAACTGTTTGTTATATTGCCATTGGAAGTGGTGCAAAATTACAAAAAACAAAACATTGTGAAGAAGGGCCATTGCCTGAAACGTTGCCTATTATACTTTTTTTTAATCCGCAGTGTTACTGCCGAACGTGTTGAGAGAGTGGTTCTTGTTTTGGTCGTCGCTGGGTTCATTCAGCAGCAGCGACGTTTCTCACCCGCGTCTAACTGTGACGTGGCCACGGTCTCTGCTTCCGCCACAATTGCACAGCGGGGGGGGGGAGGGGCTCGTTTCATCTCTCGCCAGGGGAGGATTAAACGAAGCTCGAGGCTGCTGGCACGCAAAGGTCACGGCCACGCAGATCCCTCTCCTAAAAGCAGTGCCTCCCACCCTCCCCACTGGAGATTACAACACGGAGCCAGATTAAATATCAAACTGTGGATCTAAGCCGTTCCTTAATAAATCCCCGTAATTATACTCACACACACTCACACACACTCTCACACACTCAAAGACAAAGATCCCCTGTATAGCCTGAACAGACTATTGGGGCAAGTGCTGTGAGCGAGCACCTACGCAAAGCCGACACAGCACACAAGGGGAAGGGTGGCCAACGCTATGCCCGGCCGCCTTTGTCTCCCCAGTGGCGATGTTTGCACACTGCACCTGCAGGTACTCATTTAAGTCGACCTAAGGGAGGCTCAGCACGGGTTCAGATGATCATCACTGGAATCGAATTCGGACCGCCAGGGTCGTAGCGCAGCGTACAAACCACAACACTACCGCTTACTCACAAACTCACTCACAAACGCACTCACCAACTCACTCACAGACACACCAACTCACTCACAGACACACATACTCACTCACAGACTCACTCACAGACTCACTCACAGACTCACTCACACACTCACACACGGACTCACTCACAGACTCACTCACAGACTCACTCACAGACACACACACAGACACACTCACACACTCACTCACAGACACACTCACACACACACACGGACTCACTCACAGACTCACTCACAGACTCACTCACAGACACACACACAGACTCACACACAGACTCACTCACACACTCACAGACTCACTCACAGACTTACTCACCAACTCACTCACAGACACACTCACAGACACACACACAGACACACTCACAGACACACTCACAGACTCACTCACAGACACACTCATCAACTCACTAATTACACGGAACACCACACGCTGGGCTGAACACTCAGATAATTTGCCAGTGAAGTTGACACTTTGCCTCCTGTCCCAAAGCAACACGCATTGTACCTATATTGGTGGAGGTCTTAGAAGATGCTACTCGCTAACAGCACTTGCCCCAACCGTCTGTGTGAGGCTACACGGGGGATCTTTGTCTCTGTTGTATCATGCCGCAAGCCTCACCGTCCTTGGTTCGCCTGTGACTCTGGCGCTCCTTCTGGAGAGACTTCTCCAGCCGAGACCGATGCTCGTACACCACTGCAGTGGCGGGAGGGAGAGGGGGGGAGAGAAGGGGAGAGGTGAACACGCGGGGTGAACACGCGAGGTGAACACGCGTGGTCAGGGTTCACAGTCAATATCATCCATCGTAGAAACGCGCATTTAGTGTCATTTGGCTGCCATAAAAAATCCACGCGATGATGATAAGCCACTACTCCGTTGAGCTATCATTCGTGATAGCCAGGTCGCTTCTGAAGAATAACTACACAGCTCAGTGGGCCATATCTGATCAAATGAAAAACATGTTTAAAGTAAAAGTTTAGTTTCGCTTAATCCATAACCAATTGATCCATCACCTATATTCGGGTTAAGTCACGCAATTATGTGGCCATGTCGGGTGATGGAGGGTGACAACACGTTTACATCATTTCCGTGGCCTAACACTCAAATACGGATGAGACTTTAACGTAAGTAAAGCGGAGTGAAATCGCAGAAAAAAGTTGAGTTGATCAAACAAATTATTTGGCGATGCCGCTTCTGCTGCTCCATCGGCAGAGGTGCACGAACACAGACACCAAAAAACAATGGCACCTTACACATCTACACAATATACAGCAGAAAAAGCATCTACAACGTAGACAGCATATCCATCATATTCAACATATGCAAAATAGACAGCACATACAGCATATAAAACATAGACAGCATCTACAACATATACAGCATCTACAGCAATGATAGGCGACGTTTTACAGCACGTAGATGTATGTGCTATGAAAAAGGGCCGTTGCCCGAAACGTCGCTTGTTAAATATTTCTACTTTCATTAGCCGAGTGAATCCCACTGAGCTATCTGGCTGATGCCAAGGGCCACGTTGTTGTACGGAGAAACCGTCAGGAGGTGCTTTATTCATTTTATATTTATACTTCGTGACTTCAAATGTTTCACTAAACTTATTTTGTTTATTTTACCAGGTAAGGCCCACTGAGCTATGTGGCTCTTTTTCAGAAGCGACCTGGACACAAATGGTAGCTCAACGCAGTGGCTTATCACGTGGAAATGTATTGCAGCCAGAATCCTCGACACGCCGGGTGTTGATTCTAAATGTGGAGGGAAACACTGAAGGACCGGAGATAAATTCACACGGTCACGAGGAAAGATACACACAAACTCCAAATATACAGCGGCAGGGTTCAGGGTCGGGATCGAACCTACGACCTCCTGTACACCAGGCGAGGTAGTTAACATCTCCCAGCCACCGTGGCGCCCTGTTTGTTGTTAGTCATCTTCTGACCCGCCCCTACTGGACATCTGTGAAACAAGAGCTTCGCAGCTCTTCGGATTCTTCCTTCAGTCTCAGTCAAGACGCTGATTGTGAGTTGAGTGTGACTTAGGTCAGTTTCCGTTCGGTCGGAAAAGTAATTTCACAGCGAGCCCGTGTCCGCTGCACCTCCTCACACGCAGCACCGCCACCGCGTCGCGCCTGCACCAAACAAACCACGGACACAGCAGCGCACTCGGGGGGCAACACCAACAGCGACACCACCGCTGCCGGCACCAACCGCAGGTAAAGCCAAGTTAGAGCCCAGGTGCTGTTCTTGCTGTGGGATTTGAATGGATACCAGGAGTTGTCTGCTCAATTAATCTCACAGATACTCACAGAAATCCACAGATACTCACAGCGCTCAGAGACTCACAGACACTCACATATATTCACAGACACTCACACAGACTTACATACTCACAGAGCTCAGAGACTCACAGACACTCACAGAGGCTCACAATCCCTCACATCCTCGGACATCTCCAACGCGGGGCGCCCTGTAGGGTGTGAGGCCCAGGACGTCCCCCGCTTTCTGGGCCCCCACCAGCACCGCGCGCGCGAGGCGGCGCCACGGCCGACTGCTGTGACCCGGCTGAGAGGTCGCGACTCCACACGCCCCAGGGACTTGGGGGAGTTCGCTCGGAGTAGACTGCCCCGCAGCTCTGTTACAGCTCGGGGTGTCGCGTGGGGAGCAGGAGTGAGCATCTGCTGGTGACCTCAGCCAGCCAACTCAGAGCATCCCGGGTCTGTCCTCTAACATCCAGCAGAGTGCCGTCTACACCCCCAACGTGACGGCCTCAGAGTGCACCTAGCCTGGCACAAGCGCGCTGGTGATGTCAACGTCGCTTATCGGCGGCGTTTGTTGTTGTTGGGTAGCGAGGCGCCGCTGCTATGCCCCCCACGTGCCCCCCGCGTGCCCCCCGCGTGTGCCCCAGAGGCTCAACGACCGATTTGCTCTGCAAGATCCGACTGTGCCCCCCCCCCTCGCGTGCCCCCCCCCTCACCTGCCCCCCCCCCCTCACCTGCCCCCCCCCTCACCTGCCTTCCCCCCCCTTCACCTGCCTTCCCCCTCACGTGCCCCCCCATCGCGTGCCCCCCCCGCTCGCCTTGTAGCTGCGCGCTGAGCGCGTCGTGCTGCAGGCGCAGGGCGCGCGTCTCCGCCTCGGCGCGGCGCGTCCCGGCGCGGAGCCGCGAGCCCAGCAGCAGCAGCAGCGCGGTCGGGGCGAGAAGCAGCAGCCACCACCACGTGGGCCTCCGCCTCCACAGCGGCATCCCCACCCACTCCACCTGCACCACCTGCACCGCCACCACCACCTGCACCACCACCAGTACCACCACCTGCACCACCAGCACCACAACCACCTGTACCACCACCACCTGCACCACCACCAGCAGCAGAAGCAGCAGCACCACTCCTGCTGCTACTGCTGTACCCTAGACTGCTCTCTCTCTCTCCAATTGTCTCTGTCTCACCACACTCCTCTCTCTGTCTCTAACCACACTCCCCGTGGCTCTCACCACACTCCCCGTGTCTCTCACCACACTCCTCCTCTCTCTCACCACACTCCTCGTGTCTCTCACCACACTCCTCTCCCTGTCTCTCACCACACTCCTCGTGTCTCTGACCAGACTCCTCCTCTCACTCACCACACTCCCCGTGTATCTCACCACACTCCTCCTCTCTCTCACCACACTCCCCGTGTCTCTCACCACACTCCTCGTGTCTCTCACCACACTCATCGTGTCTCTCACCACACTCCTCGTGTCTCTCACCACACTCCTCCTCTCACTCACCACACTCCTCGTGTCTCTCACCACACTCCTCCTCTCTCTCACCACACTCCCCGTGGCTCTCACCACACTCCCCGTGTCTCTCACCACACTCCTCTCCCTGTCTCTCACCACACTCCTCGTGTCTCTCACCAAACTCCCCGTGTCTCTCACCACACTCCTCGTGTCTTTGACCAGACTCCTCCTCTCACTCACCACACTCCCCGTGTCTCTCACCACACTCCCCGTGTCTCTCACCACACTCCCCGTGTCTCTCACCACACTCCTCTCCCTGTCTCTCACCACACTCCTCCTCTCACTCACCACACTCCTCCTCTCACTCACAACACTCCTCCTCTCACTCACCACACTCCTCCTCTCACTCACCACACTCCTCCTCTCACTCACCACACTCCTCCTCTCACTCACCACACTCCTCTCACTCACCACACTCCTCCTCTCACTCACAACACTCCTCCTCTCACTCACCACACTCCTCCTCTCACTCACCACACTCCTCCTCTCACTCACCACACTCCTCCTATCACTCACCACACTCCTCCTCTCACTCACCACACTCCTCCTCTCACTCACCACACTCCTCCTCTCACTCACCACACTCCTCCTCTCACTCACCACACTCCTCCTCTCACTCACCACACTCCTCCTCTCACTCACCACACTCCTCCTCTCACTCACCACACTCCTCCTATCACTCACCACACTCCTCCTCTCACTCACACACTCCTCCTCTCACTCACCACACTCCTCCTCTCACTCACCACACTCCTCCTCTCACTCACCACACTCCTCCTCTCACTCACCACACTCCTCCTCTCACTCACCACACTCCTCCTCTCACTCACCACACTCCTCTCACTCACCACACTCCTCCTCTCACTCACAACACTCCTCCTCTCACTCACCACACTCCTCCTCTCACTCACCACACTCCTCCTCTCACTCACCACACTCCTCCTGTCACTCACCACACTCCTCCTCTCACTCACCACACTCCTCCTCTCACTCACCACACTCCTCCTCTCACTCACCACACTCCTCCTCTCACTCACCACACTCCTCTCACTCACCACACTCCTCCTCTCACTCACAACACTCCCCCTCTCACTCACCACACTCCTCCTCTCACTCACCACACTCCTCCTCTCACTCACCACACTCCGCCTGTCACTCACCACACTCCTCCTCTCACTCACCACACTCCTCCTCTCACTCACCACACTCCTCTCACTCACCACACTCCTCCTCTCACTCACAGCACTCCTCCTCTCACTCACCACACTCCTCCTCTCACTCACCACACTCCTCCTCTCACTCACCACACTCCTCCTCTCACTCACCACACTCCTCCTCTCACTCACCACACTCCTCCTATCACTCACCACACTCCTCCTCTCACTCACCACACTCCTCTCACTCACCACACTCCTCCTATCACTCACCACACTCCTCCTCTCACTCACCACACTCCTCTCACTCACCACACTCCTCCTCTCACTCACCACACTCCTCCTCTCACTCACCACACTCCTCCTCTCACTCACCACACTCCTCCTCTCACTCACCACACTCCTCCTCTCACTCACCACACTCCTCCTCTCACTCACCACACTCCTCCTCTCACTCACCACACTCCTCCTCTCACTCACAACACTCCTCCTCTCACTCACCACACTCCTCCTCTCACTCACCACACTCCTCCTCTCACTCACCACACTCCTCTCACTCACCACACTCCTCCTCTCACTCACAACACTCCTCCTCTCACTCACCACACTCCTCCTCTCACTCACCACACTCCGCCTCTCACTCACCACACTCCTCCTCTCACTCACCACACTCCTCCTATCACTCACCACACTCCTCCTCTCACTCACCACACTCCTCCTCTCACTCACCACACTCCTCCTCTCACTCACCACACTCCTCCTCTCACTCACCACACTCCTCCTATCACTCACCACACTCCTCCTCTCACTCACACACTCCTCCTCTCACTCACCACACTCCTCCTCTCACTCACCACACTCCTCCTCTCACTCACCACACTCCTCCTCTCACTCACCACACTCCTCCTCTCACTCACCACACTCCTCCTCTCACTCACCACACTCCTCCTCTCACTCACCACACTCCTCTCACTCACCACACTCCTCCTCTCACTCACAACACTCCTCCTCTCACTCACCACACTCCTCCTCTCACTCACCACACTCCTCCTCTCACTCACCACACTCCTCCTGTCACTCACCACACTCCTCCTCTCACTCACCACACTCCTCCTCTCACTCACCACACTCCTCCTCTCACTCACCACACTCCTCCTCTCACTCACCACACTCCTCTCACTCACCACACTCCTCCTCTCACTCACAACACTCCCCCTCTCACTCACCACACTCCTCCTCTCACTCACCACACTCCTCCTCTCACTCACCACACTCCGCCTGTCACTCACCACACTCCTCCTCTCACTCACCACACTCCTCCTCTCACTCACCACACTCCTCTCACTCACCACACTCCTCCTCTCACTCACAACACTCCTCCTCTCACTCACCACACTCCTCCTCTCACTCACCACACTCCTCCTCTCACTCACCACACTCCTCCTATCACTCACCACACTCCTCCTATCACTCACCACACTTCTCCTCTCACTCACCACACTCCTCCTCTCACTCACCACACTCCTCCTCTCACTCACCACACTCCTCCTATCACTCACCACACTCCTCCTCTCACTCACCACACTCCTCTCACTCACCACACTCCTCCTCTCACTCACCACACTCCTCCTATCACTCACCACACTCCTCCTCTCACTCACCACACTCCTCCTCTCACTCACCACACTCCTCCTCTCCTCTCACTCACCACACTCCTCCTCTCACTCACCACACTCCTCCTCTCACTCACCACACTCCTCCTCTCACTCACCACACTCCTCCTATCACTCACCACACTCCTCCTCTCACTCACCACACTCCTCTCACTCACCACACTCCTCCTCTCACTCACCACACTCCTCCTCTCACTCACCACACTCCTCCTCTCACTCACCACACTCCTCCTCTCACTCACCACACTCCTCCTCTCACTCACCACACTCCTCCTCTCACTCACCACACTCCTCCTCTCACTCACCACACTCCTCCTCTCACTCACAACACTCCTCCTCTCACTCACCACACTCCTCCTCTCACTCACCACACTCCTCCTCTCACTCACCACACTCCTCTCACTCACCACACTCCTCCTCTCACTCACCACACTCCTCCTCTCACTCACCACACTCCTCCTCTCACTCACCACACTCCTCCTGTCACTCACCACACTCCTCCTCTCACTCACCACACTCCTCCTCTCACTCACCACACTCCTCGTGTCTCTCACCACACTCCTCCTCTCTCTCACCACACTCCCCGTGGCTCTCACCACATTCCCCGTGTCTCTCACTACACTCCTCTCCCTGTCTCTCACTACACTCCTCGTGTCTCTCACCACACTCCCCGTGTCTCTCACCACACTCCTCGTGTCTTTGACCAGACTCCTCCTCTCACTCACCACACTCCCCGTGTCTCTCACCACACTCCCCGTGTCTCTCACCACACTCCCCGTGTCTCTCACCACACTCCTCTCCCTGTCTCTCACCACACTCCTCCTCTCACTCACCCCACTCCTCTCACTCACCACACTCCTCCTCTCACTCACAACACTCCTCCTCTCACTCACCACACTCCTCCTGTCACTCACCACACTCCTCCTCTCACTCGCCACACTCCTCCTCTCACTCACCACACTCCTCGTGTCTCTCACCACGCTCCTCCTCTCTCTCACCACACTCCCCGTGGCTCTCACCACACTCCCCGTGTCTCTCACCACACTCCTCTCCCTGTCCCTCACCACACTCCTCGTGTCTCTCACCACACTCCCCGTGTCTCTCACCACACTCCTCGTGTCTTTGACCAGACTCCTCCTCTCACTCACCACACTCCCCGTGTCTCTCACCATACTCCCAGTGTCTCTCACCACACTCCTCTCCCTGTCTCTCACCACACTCCTCCTTCTCACTCACCACACTCCTCTCACTCACCACACTCCTCCTCTCACTCACAACACTCCTCCTCTCACTCACCACACTCCTCCTCTCACTCACCCCACTCCTCCTCTCACTCACCACACTCCTCCTGTCACTCACCACACTCCTCCTCTCACTCACCACACTCCTCGTGTCTATCGCAGCGGCGGTGACGGCGGCCTGCACATCCTCCCCCTCCCCTCGTGTAACTCGAACCCCACTGCCTCTGCCCCCCTCCACCTGAGCTTTGTCTCGATAGGCGGGGTCCACATCTGCGCGATCAGTTGCGCAACTCAGCCGCGTGCAACTGCAGGGTCGCGCGTTTCGCTGCAACCGAAGACGCCGGCGCGCGCGGGCGGTTTCAGTCGCGCGGGGTCGAGAGGGACTCGGTCACCTCACCGGTCGCGCAGGCGTGCACCGCTGCAACCAGCCTCCTTTCTAATCCCCTCAGTTCAAATCCTGGTTCGGGGGTTCTCCCGGCCCATCATCCCTGTGCGGTCGATAAAAACAACTCCCACTTTGCGAGGAAGTCAACTGACTGGTGGTTGTCCTATGAATGGGACTCGCCCCCGCCATAGAAATGTGGAATATCCACCCGCCGGCTCAGGGCTGTGAACAGGAAATGAGCAGCAACGCCTCAGTGCTCATTCCTGCGGAAAACCACAGCCGCGTGCGCTGTGCAGCAGCAGCAGCCCGTTGCTGCAGGTACCTCATCATCATCGTCATCATCATCATCGTCAGTGGAGGAGGTCGCTCCTTCTCAGCTTCTGCTGTCTGGAATTTCCTTCCTCCTTGAACTTCGTGAGGTTGAGACTGCTGCTTCCATTGTCTAAAGCCAAAACTCGATACCTCAGTTTGTTCCCACGCGGATCATTTGTTTGCCTGTGGTATTTTGTTGTGTGGGTTGTATCGAATAACTTTGACACTCGTGGCGTGGACATGGCAGAGGTTTGACTGCCCCTCTCATGCGAACGCGGTTCGAGAGCACTCATCAACTCAAGAGGTGACTTCAACAGCGGTGTGGTACAATGGGCCACAGCAAACAAACGAAGGGGAACGTCCGTTGCGTGAATGATGGCGCAGGGCGGTGCTGGTCCGCCACGGGGCGCGCAGCCGACGACTGCGACGAGCTGCCCCCGTGACGTAACGGAGGATGTCCGTCCAACATCAACACACACTTTTTGGGTTTGTTTTTTTAAAGAGCAACACGTGCGATTTCTAATTACGCTTAGAATCGGGTTCATAATTAACTTGACCCGTGTGGTAACCTTCTGCTTTGTACATGAGATACGTCCGTGTTGTGTGCATTGCTTTGAGATGCTTGATGAAAAGCGCTATGTAAATGTAATTTGTATTATTGTTGTTGCTCTTGCCACCAGACATTGGTCCAAGTGCAGGCGTTCTAAGTAACCTTAACGGGATTTAGAACTCAAAGTTCATTTGGAAAACACGCGAACGTGCGCGGCCCATTTGTGGAAATCCACTGCTGGGTGAGGGTCCACCCCGGGCCGTGTGGGGTCACGGGCGACTCATCACTCAGTCGTGCTGTGCGGGGTCACGGGTGAAGGAGGGAGCTCAAAGACGTGGGAAGCATAGAAGTACAGAACAATAGCTGTTGTATAGGGTCAAACTTATTCTTATGTACTGAAAACATAAGAATAAGTTTGACCCTTTATGACAAAAAAAACAGGAGGTGTTAAGATGTTCTAATAACAAATAGATATCTTTAGCAAGGCATCAAGTCTGCATTAACCACACGTACTTGTGGCAAAACATGCAAACGTGCTCTGATAATGTACGCATTGGTTGTTTTACTGATTGACCTCCACCAGAGTGAGCAGCCTTCTGCAAGGCCTTGGCTTAACACTGGTCAAACTTTCTACAGCGGCGCTCGACAATCACTCTCCCGTTAGCTGCACACAACATTCGTATGCAAATTGTGTCTAAATTAGTGTCTTGTAAGAATAACAAGGTGTAAACACAATTATGAATCGGCATGTTGCAGAAGCACGTGGAAGAAAACCCAGAGTGGAGTAAAACCGGAGCGGTGGTGTGGCCCGGAGGTTGCGCGTTCACAGGTTGTTGCAGAAGACCGCGGATTGACTCGAGCAGCCGCCCTGGTTAATACTCTGCGGTACCAACCGAACCTCGCCGTCTGTTTCACAGCGGCCTGTTAACGATCCCGTGACGTTGGGGGCACCGGGGTCTGCTCCGCCTTCTTTCTACCCCCAGTTTAGTTGATGTTGACGGTGCGTGAGGCGCGCCACGTGATGTAAAATAAGTATAACCCGTAAAAACAAAGTTTTTCACTATAAATCCTTTATATGCGTGGCAGCGAACTTAATATAAAGGATTTAAAAATATATTCGCCTGTGGAGGACGCGGGGATCGATCCCGCGACCTTTGGCATGGGAAGCGAGGGCGCTACCAACTGCGCTACTCCGCCACAGCCTGTGGAGGGGTTACGCTCTGGGCTCTTATACTCTGACGTTCAGCCAAAGCCATGAATGCGTTCTATTTGAATATATGTAAAATAAAAAAAATTTTGCCTAAAAAGTGTAAAATTTTGGGAATTTTTTTTCACGAAAATTAATTGTCAGCTCGATTGGATCACGGGAAGTGGGTTAAAAAACGACCGAAAGATTTGCACGGTCCTAAGCAAGCAAGCACACAAGCAAGCAAGCGAACTTAATATAAATGATTTAAAAAAGATCCCGTGACGTAATTCGCAAGCGTGGTTCATTTCTTGCCTCCATCATCGTCCGAAATTGTCCACCAATTTCATGCCACTACAATCACTCAACACGTAGCCCCTACTGGACATCTGTGGAACTTTATATCTCATCGGATTTCTCCAGCATAAATACAGATTCTGATTCTGACGCAGCGATCATTAACAATCACCGCTACCTGCTGTCAAATTCCCTTGGCAAGGACCCTCGTGGTTCGATTTACGAACGGGCCTCAAGAAATAAATCGTGTTCGTAAGTCGATGACTACCCGTGAAGATGCAAATATCGGATATTTAAGTTGTCACAACATGTATGTCAGATCGCCGTCATGTTATGCCGGGTACAGCGACTTTAATATAAAAGTCATCATACGGTAAGGGAGGGGGGTAATGAACCCCCACCAATCCCTCCCCCTTCGCACTGGAGGTTTTTAAAAATTATGTCATGGCCACGTGGGCAAATTGTGCGTTTCGCGTCACGTGACGCGGCTGCAGCGCCAGGAGCGACACGCATCACAGTCGCACCACCTCCTCCTCCACCACCACCATTCCTCCTCCACCATCACCTCCTCCTACACCACCTCCTTCACCACCACCATCTCCTCCACCACCACCTCCTCCACCACCAACACCTCCTTCACCACCACCTCCACCACCACCACCTCCTTCACCACCTCCTCCACCACCACCTCCTCCACCACCACCACCTCCTCCTCCACCACCTCCTTCACCACCACCTCCTCCACCACCACCACCTCCTCCACCACCACGACCTCCTCCACCACCTCCTTCACCACCTCCTCCTCCACCACCACCTCCTCCACCACCACCTCCACCACCATCACCTCCTCCACCACCACCTCCTTCACCACCACCACCTCCTCCACCACCACCTCCTCCACCACCTCCTTCACCACCTCCTCCACCACCACCTCCACCTCCTCCACCACCATCTACTCCACCACCTCCTTTACCACCTCCTCCACCACCACCACCTCCTTCACCACCACCTCCTCCTCCACCTCCACAACCACCTCATCCTCCACCACCTCCTTCACCACCACCACCTCCTCCACCACCACCTCCTCCACCACCTCCGTCACCACCTCCTCCACCACCTCCACCTCCTCCACCACCACCTACTCCACCACCTCCTTTACCACCTCCTCCACCACCACCACCTCCTCCACCACCACCACCTCCTCCACCACCACCTACTCCACCACCTCCTTTACCACCTCCTCCACCACCACCACCTCCTTCACCACCACCTCCTCCTCCACCTCCACAACCACCACCTCCTCCACCACCTCCTCCACCACCTCCACCACCTCCTCCACCACCACCTCCTTCACCACCACCTCCTCCTCCACCACCACCTCCACAACCACCTCATCCTCCACCACCTCCTCCACCACCTCCACCACCTCCTCCACCACCACCTCCTCCACCACCTCCTTCACCACCTCCTCCACCACCTCCTCCTTCACCACCTCCTCCTCCACCACCACCTCCTCCACCACCACCTCCTCCACCACCTCCTCCACCACCTCCACCACCTCCTCCACCACCACCTCCTCCACCACCTCCTTCACCACCTCCTCCACCACCTCCTTCACCACCACCTCCTCCTTCACCACCTCCTCCTCCACCACCACCTCCTCCACCACCACCTCCTCCTCCACCACCTCCACCACCTCCACCACCATCACCTCCTCCACCACCACCTCCTTCACCATCACCACCTCCTCCACCACCTCCTCCTCCACCACCTCCTTCACCATCACCACCTCCACCACCACCTCCTTCACCACCACCTCCTCCTCCACCACCTCTTTCACCACCTCCTCCACCACCACCTCCTTCACCACCACCTCCTCCTTCACCACCTCCTCCTCCACCACCCCCTCCTCCACCACCACCACCTCCTCCACCAGTACCACCACCACCTCCTCCATCACCGTCAACTTTTCCTTCTCCTCCTCCTCGTGCAGACGGTGCTGCTGCTATCGGCGCTGTGACGTTCTTCCAGTTCTCATGAGCGCGCCCCCCCCCACCCCCCACCGGTTTTAGGGGTGCTAAAGGCGAGCTGGAAAACTGCCCCATCACGTACCGTGTGTCACCGTGTGCTCACGCTGCGGATATATCTATCTGTGTTCACGATGCATTCACATTGTGTTAACGCTGTGTTCACGTTGTGTTCACGAGTACAATGGACGTCACTGTGCAAGGGGCAGTACAAAGTACACGGGATTTCATGAAAAGACCGCGCAGTGCTGTATCGGCAAAGTTCCCGCGCAGCCACTTCCCAGGGCCTCGCTTGCGGAGCCCACGGTGGTCCGCGGAGTGCTGGGTGGGAACCGCGGCTCCACTGCCTCTCTCGATATCTCTATCCGCTGCCTCCATCTCTCTCCACCACCTCCATCTCTCTCCACCGCCTCCATCTCTCTCGCGCACG